GGGCGCGTGTGGGGAGGGCTGCATTAACCGAGCGATCATGGCATTCTGTTCCTCCCTTCGAACTCTCCGTCTACATAGACATCACATTCAAGATGGTGAGCGCGCTGACTATCTACCCAGGCACCCGAAATGCTACCTGCCAAGTCTTTTCGCGTCATCATCATGAAAGGGTGGTCAACCTTTGAAGAGTTGAATACTGCTTCAGGGAAAATACGATCCGGTAAAGTATGCAAACATGTGCACGATCAGCTTCGAGGGTCATGAGGCTGATAATTCGGTTTGCGCATGTTCGTCATGAAGCCGTGCAAAATCAAAACACATGATACCAGTTGGAAGACGTTTATCGGAAGATAAAGCTTAGCGCCATCCGCATCACTTCATGTTCTTTCAAGTTTCCTGTTCCTGAATGGGAAAACTCTAAACTGCTTCACATCGTCATCTCCCATAGCGTATCATAAGCGCTAGAGTGTACTCATTTGAGTAAGCTCTCACGCATACCTGAAAGTGGCCGCATGGGTTTGTGATTACATCGTAATAGGGGTATCTCAAATCCAAAATTATCAAGTCTCGAGTGATCACACAAGTATCATCCCATTTTATAGCATCATTGTGTACGGTTGTATAACGAAATGCTCAGATAGATGAGTTGAGTCAGGTAGCCCGCATCACACAGGTTCCGTTATTCGGGAGCTTCATAGCCGCGCGATGTAAGAGTCCTTCTGGAAGGGATTGGAGCGGACCGGAAGCGCTGGTACCGACGATCGTTGATCTTCTTGTGCCGAGCGATTACTTGTAGCTAGCCTGATTTACAAGTGGGTTCATTAAAAACCGAAACGGGGCGAACTGAAACCTAATTGATGGCTAGCGCTGAGAACAGGAGCCGTGATGTCCATCCCACCGAATGAGCATGGGAATGCTAGCAGTCGATCTCAATGTCCAGAGCGCCCAATCGCTCCGGATGCTACGGCCAGGCTCGGGAGCAAGGCACTGACAGAGCTATAGAGTCATTGTTGTGGTGCAAAGCACCATGTTAGTCTACGTGGGTATGATGACGATCCCAAAACAAGAACGCACCTTTGTATATAACGGGCCTATGCCACCGTAAGACCGCTCTCTACTCAACCATCCACCTGAACCATCAGCTACACCATGGCACGCTTCTTCCTCCAAGTACTGCTTGCTGCCGCAAGCCTCGTCGCTGGCCAAAGCACAACGTGCCCAAACGAGGTTGCCATCTACAACCAGCAAGATCGCACTATGAGTGCGACCAGCAGTAAGTGTGAATTCTCTGGACTGTAAGGAAATCTTGTACTGATACAGTCTGCAGACTGGTTCCTTGTTCCGGTGCCCAAGGATGCTGTCATGAAGGCCCTCAAGGAGTCGTTCTCGAGCTTGGTCAACCTAGGCGGACTAAATCTGCTGTCTCTTCCCGAAGAGCTGAAATTTCCCGAGGGCATGCACCCGGTCATCGTTAACGCCGGAGCCAACACCGATATCCGCCAGGGCGGCCTCCAGCTTGCTACAGGATTGATGGTCGGCAGCTCTATGATCCCCTATGTCGGCGTCGGTAGCTCCAAGACACCACTCAATGCGCCCCTTGTGTCGTACCTTGCCGGCGTGGACGAAGTAACCCAGGGTTATGTCGCCGGCCTCGTCCCATCTCTAGTTGGTAAGTAATTGACGCGAACTCAGTTCAGCCTGTGGGTTATAGCTAACGCGCGACCCTTTAGCTACTGTAGGCGGTATTCAGACCAGAATCGGCGCATTTCTACCACTCAATGCACCATTCCAATCATACAGGGATGGATCTTTCGGCATCAACTCGAAGTGGGCACAGGCACCCAACCCTGTCAGCGGTCCTGGCCTGTACTCCGAGGCGTTCGATCTGAAGTTCGTCAGCGAACCCAACCAGGCAGCACCCAGATACTCCCTTGACATGTGGAAAAGCATGGTCAATCAACCCTTCTTGCTCGGCAGCGTGGGAAGCCTCCTTTCACCCAAGTGCCAGCGCAATGTCTATTTCTTTAACAACGCCACCGCACAGCCAACTTACCGCTCGGGCAACGTAACTCTTGGTCCTTCAGCGGGTGCCGATGTATTCTCTGCTACCTTGCAAAAGGCCAGTCCAGATGGTTCCGGATTCTACCAGGGAGTTTATGGCTTCACTGGCTGTGGACAGTCTGTCGGATATGGCGCTGTTGTTCCGCTAGGCGAGGACTGCGAGGCTGCTGCTCAGGCCATTAAGAACACCCCTGGAGCTTTGTAAGAATACTTAATGACCCACCTGGATAGGTAGATGAAAACTACTTGTCGAGTAATACCAGTAATGTTAGCAATGTACCCAGAATGTCTCAATTCCAGGTTTTATGTTTCTTACGTGCTATAGAAGTAATGAAGAGCTGGCGGAAGGACATTGCACGTCTTTGCTGCAAGTCGTTACGTCATTGTTGTCGCGTCGCCGAAAATGGGGCGTTCACGGTGCGCACGCGTCTTTCCTCGACTGTTACACATTGTCTTCGTGCGAGCGATACTTGTTGGAAAATCTGTCAGCCGGAGATTTATCCGAACTGAGGTCTGGGAATAACACCTCGAGAAGGCCGAGCAATGAATGTACTATACCGTTCGAGGTTAGCGCAGCGGATTAGTACGCAAAATCTACGTCATATTGACCGGAGATGCCCAGCGATAGTAGATTTTTGTGGCATCTGTCATTGCTTAGCGTTACTGATGTTCTATCAATCCCTCGTTCTATTGTTGCTGACGACTTTAGCATCATAAACGCGTCCGGCACTTGCCACGTTTCCGGCAATCTTTCTCATTCTTCGAGCTGCACCTAGAACAGGGATCGTAGTCTTATGTTCAAGCATTCCAGAGTACACCGTTGGCACAAGCGACAAGATATGAACCACTGTAGACATGGATTCTAAAGACGAACGATCATCGGAAACGAATACCACTACGACACCACACACAGACGTAGATATTGAGAGTGGAAGGCGATCAAGACCAAGACAGCGGAGCGAATCAACGTCCGATTCATCGTCGGAGTATGAGGAAGAGAAGGATGCCGACCATGACGGCCACCGTCCATCGGGAAGAGAACTTCAAGAAAGCATTTCGCGATCACGCAGCAGACGCAGTCTACCAAGAGACAGAAGAGCGACAGCCACGGCGAGTGGTATGAATCAGCCTTTGAGCCGGACAATATCTAGACGCGACACCGCACTTTCACGAATACGTACACGACCGAATGTTGCGCCATTTTCCCATCCTCTGGCGCACCAGCAGACCACTGCAGATGTGCTGGTAGATTTTGAGGGCGACGACGATCCTTATCGCCCCATGAACTGGCCCACAAAGAAGAAGATCACAACGACCATGATGTATGGCCTCACGACTATGAGCGCGACATGGGCTTCTTCTGCATATTCTGCAGGTACGCGACAGATAGCAGCCGAGTTCAACGTAGGAAACCAGGTCGCAGTGTTGGGCACTACGCTCTTCCTGTTTGGATTTGGACTTGGACCGCTTCTCTGGGCTCCACTTTCCGAAGTCTACGGTAGACGTTTGGCAGTTTTGACGCCCATGTTCATTGCAATCTGCTTTAGCTTCGGTAGTGCCGTATCAAAGGACTTCCAGACACTGATGATCACAAGGTTCTTCGGTGCCTTCTTTGCTAGCGCTCCGGTTACGAATACCGGTGGTGTATTGGGAGATCTGTATAGTCCGGCATGGAGGGCCTTAGCCATGGCAGGTTACGCTATGGCGGTCGTCGGAGGACCGTGTCTAGGGCCAATTGTCTCAGCAGCTTTTGTCGCCAATCCATCACTTGGATGGCGTTGGACCGAATACTTCACGGGTATACTTCAGGCAACCATTCTGTTCATCGACATCATTTTCATCGACGAATGCTACCCACCGAAACTCCTCGTCTACAAAGCACGTCGCCTGCGGCACGAAACCGGCAATTGGGCCCTCCACACCAAGTTCGAGGAGTGGGATGTCAGCATCAAAGAGTTGTCTAAGAAGTTTCTTCTTCGGCCATTACAGCTCCTGATGACTCCTATCTGTTTCCTTGTCGCGCTCTACGCTAGCTTCTGCTACGGCATTCTATACATGATGCTGGGAGGTAAGAGATATCGCTATTAGAACTGCATGTGAGACATGTACTGACTTCTACACCCGCTTTTAGGCATTCCCATAATCTTTGGCGAAATGAGGGGATGGCCAGCTGTAAGCGCAACGCTGCCTTTCCTGGGCATCTTGGTTGGCGCAATCATCGGCTGCAGCATCAACGCCTATAACCAACTTCTTTACAACAAAGTCTATCGTGCAGCTGGAAATCGTGCCGTTCCGGAAGCGCGTTTGCCACCGATGATGCTCGGCTCGGTACTCTTCTCCGTCGGTCAGTTCATCCTGGGGTGGACAGCGGACCCTCAATACCATTGGATCGCTCCCGTCATTGGGCTGGTATTGCTGGGAACCGGTTTCTTTACGATCTTCCAAGCTGCCCTGAACTACCTGGTCGACACATTCACGTTGTATGCTGCAAGTGCTGTAGCAGCGAACACTTTTCTTCGAAGCGCCTTTGCGGGCGCTTTTCCGTTGGTAGTGACGCCGCTGTATCACAACGTTGGAGTAGGCCCCGCGAGTAGCATCACTGGTGGATTCGCGGCACTGCTTATCCCAGTGCCTTTCGTGTTCTACATATATGGCAAGAGGATCAGAAGGGCAAGCAAATGGAGTCGTGGGAGTGTTTTTGATTGAATAGTCAATGGACAGTTACAGCAACACCTTATGCAAGGGAAAAACTGAACAGGTCTGCAGACTACATTAACCTAAAACCTTGCAAAGGAGGTGACCTAAAGTTAACGTAGGCTCTAGGCTGTTCAGTTTTTCCCTAGGTTGGCGTGGTAATACCATTGTGAGTTTTAGCTCATCCCGCAATTGATGAAAGCCGGTTTCCGCGCTTCACGTGTCTGATCGACTCAATACCCGACTTAATTTGACATCACGTTCTTGATCTCCGGAAACACATCCGCGAACCGAGCCGAGAAAGACTCGACGTACGCACCCCAAGACTCCTTGCAGCCGTCGCATAGCTTTATTCCACCAAACGAAAAAGAAGTATGTCCACCATGTGTCTCACGGTGCTGACAGCCCTTACAGTTATCCTCGCTGCTCGCGTCGAGGAACTCACGAAGGCCGTCGAACATGAGCTCATCACTTCTCGCCATTAAGTGGTTGTAGCGCTCAACGTCCTTGGCATCGCCATCCTGCATGTCGACGCGGTTCCAGAGCTTGAACTGTTGGCGTGCTTGTGTGATGACGGCGGTAGTCTCAGGTCGACCAATCATCATTCCATCTTCGATGAACCGGTAGCGACGCATCACTAGAGAACTTTGTTAATGACGGTAAATCATTAGGAAGGGAAATTTTAACCTACTCATATGTATAGGACCACCGAAGAATCGTAAGAAATTGATGATAACCATGTGTTCTCGCTTGCCCGCCCAAGCAACATCGAGAGCCCAGAGCAACTCACGGGACTGGTGGAAAGCCTTGATACGGATATCGGAAGGCGCGTATGCGAACGTGGAGTTCTAAAAGTCCCAGGTCAGTCTGTGTCCATCGCATCACGTTTGATCAGATATCACTCACTGTCTCGCCCTCGGACCGGTGTTTGTAGAAGGCTACACTGTCGTAGAGAGTGGCGCCGAGTTCATCCAAAGCCTCGAACTGTTCTTCGGTATAATGTACGTCATCGAGATCGTTACAGACCAGAGCTGCGCCCATGGTAAAGCGGATCAGAGCATCTGTGTCGCGCATGCGGAACCATTGTCGAGGCGACTTGGCGAGGGCGGTAACGTAACGTCTGAACAACAGGCCTTCACGGCGTTTGCTTGCTTTGTCTGCTGTTATGAGAAGGAAGCAGCGGAATTCGCGAGCCATGGCCGCACTGTATCTAGATAGGATGACATCAGTATCAGTCTGTGAGGTTCGAGATACAGCAAAAAGAGAACAGGTCAGCTTACTGTTCAGTTGTGCCCTGAAAGAGCTCGTTCAGAAGAGCAGTGAGGTTGTAACCCAGAAGATTGTCGCCAAGTGACACCTGCACCAAATCGCCTTTGCACTCCGCGACGATACCGATGACGATAACACGCATGAAGGCCACATAGCGATTCCAATTGGTGTATTGAGGAATCACGCAACGTGCGTACTCCCATGCGCATGCATATACTTCTTCCTTGATGCGCTGTGGAAGGTCGACGTCTTTGAGATCGTTGGCGATGTCGGCGGGATAGTCTATGGATTGAGAATGAGTACGCTGTCTGTATACTAAACATGAGGAGGGGAAACCTTACACCACTTCTCCCGGATCGGTGGTACGGACTGTTCATTCGGAACAGCGAGGGATGGCTTGAAGAACGGCCTGGTGAGTTTGAAGCCCTGATAAGATGTGAGTATAGTTGATATTAAATGTCGAGTGTCGAGCGGCGTCGTATCAACCGTGCGGAAAGAACATACCGACAGAGTTTCGCGGTACTGCTTGCAAAGCCCCTCGAAGTAAGCATAAAGCATACTGAACAACACGATTTTGAACATGCTGTTCGTATCGTGGGGAAGAGAATCGCGTGCGAAGAGATTTTGTCCGGCTGTCGTAGAGATTTCAAATACAAAACCCGTCGTGAGCAAGTTTCTCAAAACTTTCTTAGCGCACAAACGAGAGATTCCACGGAAACCTTTCACTCAGTTCACACCCGTACGCCGCGCGTTCAGCTCGTAGGATCCGTCGTTCTTGATAGGGGACAGTCGGCTCATCCTGCACATCGACCCTGACTGTATTGGCAATCACGCTAGAGTGGGGCTTGTGAGTGGGTGATGAGGTCTTTCCCGCACACGGTGAAACGGCGCAAACATACCTACACACCAGCAGCAGCGCATCATTGGCGAGACTGCCTGACAACATATCGATCGCGTTTGAAACAATAATGCCCAGAGTTGGGAGATGCAAGGAAATTACCGATAATGGAGACCCAGCACAGCGGCGTGGCTTTCTAGCCCTTGCACAATTGGGTAATTTCCTACCAGTCTCCCAGGTAACTGAGTACACTAAGCTCCGTTCATATAATGGCAGCGAGATTGAAACACGCTGCACTTAGCTGTGTGTCTACTCCGAATTTGCGTATTGGGTGTGATGAACATGTAACTTTTTGCCCGGAAGATGGCCATCGCGTTCGAGAACGGTGAGTGCTGAGTACATGACGCCCGATCAAAGTCCAATACGGTGTTGTCTTCCGAGCTCTTGCTGCATAATTTCGTAATCCCGCCGCCGTCTAAAAAGAACTTCGAATACGATCGTGGAGTATGTGATTGCCATTGTCCAGCAATTAGTTTCACAAAGCAGAGATATTGGAAGTGTGTGTACACCGTGAGGTCTACCATTCAAGCACTGGCAGTCTATGGTGGCTGGCCTTTCGTCATCGCGCCCGTACTTCGGTCGATCAGAAAAGACTTGTTATACTTGAAATGCCACTCCTTCTCTCTTGACCATCGCCTTTCCACCACTTGCAAACCCGGTACCTTCACTCCTTATCTCCACAAGTCCAGGCTTGGGCGCCTTTTCCTTCTCGTTGTCCTTTTTCTTCTTCTTGCCTTCCTTGGCGTCTGGAACTGTCGTAAGATCTGCATCGCATACATAGCAATGAACAGTCTCGGGCTCCGGTCCTTGATCATGTGCATCTCGCTGATGCCGATGCTCTGGCCGGAGAAACTTATCAACGCATGGTTTGCATAGGACGTGACCACAAGGTATAGCGAGCATAGCTTTCGTACTGTTTGAGAGCGCTTTCTGGCAGCTGGGACATGTGCGAGCCGATTTTCCCGTCTCGGAGGACTTTTCTTCGTGGAAGTTAACGCTCGTTAAGCTCTTCAGCGACAGGCTGTGAGGTTGGTCTGGGTGGCTTGACGGGCATACAGGCGTTTGTTTCGCCTTCTCTGCGCTTTTGTGGTGTTGGTCGGGTGTCTCGCCGGGAACCCAAAAGCTGGGGAGATGACCCTTGGCTGCTTTGCGCTCGGCGTCGAATGTGCGTTTTGCTTTGCTCTGCTCTTCGTGTGCGATGCGCTTGAGTTCCTCTTGGTCAATTTCGAACTTGCGTTTCGTGCCTCTGGCCTCTCCAGCCTTGGCATCCTGCTCTTCTTCGACCATGATCTTGCTGCTTTGCCTTCCAACGACTCGTGCTGATGCACCTGCTTTGACCGAAAGCCCCATCTGAACAGCTTCGAATTCCTCGACTGCCAGCAGCCGCGCTTCCTCCTCTTCTCGCAGCTTTTGATCCTCGTCCTCCAACTTCTGGCGCTCGTTCAGCTTCTCTAGTCGCTTCATTTCCTTTCGTTGCGCCAGAAGATTGGTCATGGCGCACTCGCGACAGAACAGATCGCCTTGTGAACAGCACACTGGGTCTACTGAAGGAAGGAGACATAGCTGGCAGGAGCCAAAAGGTAGAAATGAGTCACGGGTCAGACGCGTAGCCTGCGAGCCCCATCGGTCTTTGAGGGCATTCCGCTCGTATGATGTGAAGATAGTCTTTGGGGGCGGCATGTTGGGTTATGTTCAGCATTCAAGATTCGCAAACCGAGACGCGACTTTTCGTGATGGACTCAGTAGGTGTACCGGTCCGGGCAACAGTGCCTAGCCCTGCTATGGGATTCCGTGAACAAGCTCTGGAGATGATGCACAAGGCCCGCAAGTCCAAGTCTAGTCTGGTACAGTGTCGAGCTCTTGCTGTGGTGATGGAAGAAGGCGTGTTGAAACGGAAGAGCCAGCCCTGGAGCCACTTGGCGCACGTGCAGGCCGCAATCGCGCTAGTACTGTCGCCAAAATGCCGGTCCCTGCCCAGGTGGCAGTGACGTTGGTGGGCCGCGGCATCCAGCTATTGAGCGCGAAATCTTCACATGTCGCCCTCAACCCCACGCCTACACCAATGCGACCAGAGGAGCAGCCGGGGGCCCCCAGCGGGCCATGGCGCGCCGCGTCGGCCTTCACCATGGGCGCTGTCGGGCTCTTGTGCAAAGGATTCCTGAATGGCCTGAGCAAGGTTGAGACGCACGGAATGGAGGGCTTCCTGAAACTATTGGATGAAAGAGAGGATCCAGCGAGTAGGCAACGAGGCCTCATAACTGGTAAGTGCTTGTACTATCAAGAATCCAGGAAATGCCCAGTACTGACGAGCGTGCAGTCTCGAACCACATCTCCGTGTACGTACGTTTGCCATAATCTCCGAATCGTCATGGATGGACTGCGCTCACACAATCTATACAGAATGGATGATCCCATACTATGGGGTATACTACCACTCGCCTACATATTTACCCCGGACAATCTGCGCTGGGGATTAGGTAGTTATGATCTATGCTTCACCAACAAGTATGTCACCTCTGGAATGCACAGAAAGCTCGGCTGACGCCCTAGTAGAGGACTGTCGACATTCTTTACCTTTGGACAGGTTCTACCCACACATCGTTCGGCGCATTCCCAATTCGGCGGCCTATTCCAACCCACCGTAACGCAAGCGATCCGTCTTCTCTCACACGGCCCGTTCTACGAGCAAGAACCACCAGAAAAGCCTACCACATCGCTCAAGAGCCCAGACCTCATCGATCCTTTTACCGACGGCCACCTCACATTCTCTACAAACGGACAAGACACGTTTCCTGCGCCCTCGGCATACCTGAATCGGCGGCATGCGTGGGTGCACATCTTCCCTGAAGGCATGATACACCAGACGGAAGACAGGATCATGCGCTACTTCAAGTGGGGAGTATCTCGATTGGTACTTGAGAGTGAGCCGATGCCCGACATCGTCCCCATCTTCATTGAAGGCTTCGACAATATCATGCACGAGACACGCACCTTCCCGCGCTTTATACCACGGCCGTTCCAGAACGTTAGGGTGACGTTTGGTGAGAAGCTGGATGCTGAGGAGGTATTCGGCGACTTGCGCGCACGCTGGAAACAGATGCGCGCAAACGAGGAGAGGAAGGGAGGAAAACTGCAAGTCGGTGTTCTCAACGACGCCCTGAAGTACTCCGACGAGGCCGTCAGCATACGCAAAGAGTGCACGCGGAGGATACGGCAGGCGGTTCTGGACGTCAGGCGGCAGCGAGGCTACCCTGAAGACGACCCGAAGAACGGCCTCGCAGAGACATGGCTGAGAGAAGGCCCGGGTAGAGAGGGGCACAAGAGGGATGGCAGCATCACAAAAGACACATGAGGCGTGTGAGGTGTATGGTATGTGTATTGTGTATATGCGACGCCTAGCATCGGCTTGCGAAGCCCGGGGACGCGACAGACTGGCCGAAGTGTGGTCAGGTCAAGACGCCTCGTCAACAAAGAAGCGCGGCAGAGTGTCAGATTAGATCAAGTAATTACACCATCAGCGACTCCTGCCGCCGGCGCGCCGATCAACCACGGCCTCAGGCGACTGGGGGCGGGTTTCGTCGTTGCGAACCGGAGCAGGCACCACGATGCTGTTTGTACAAGGCGGAGAGGTCTCTGGCGTGCTCGTGTCGTCATCCACTGCTGGCGACGCGCATCCATCGCCCCTGGACGGAACGATGGACGTGACGAGGCTGGAGAGAGGAGCTTGGAACAAACGTGTGGTTTTGTCGCAGAGGCGCCATGAGCACGGGCCCCACGCCAGCCAATGGACGGCAGGTGGGCTCCACCGTCGCCAGATTTATCTTGCTCGTACTACGCCGAGCAGCCTACAGCGACTCACCCCCAGCATCCAGGACACCGCGGCCCCCTCGACAACGTCGCGCCGCCCTCCCACCGCCCACGACCGATCCGCCGCTGCAGAGCGACCCTGCGCCACCGCCTCGTATGCCTCGCGGCGTCAAGAAGGAGGAGAGCATGCAGGATGCAGACTACTTGCCCGACGCGTCAGTGCCCGCCATGCCAGACGCGAGCAATGGCGTAGGCGGGGCAGACACGCCCAACACGGACAACATCACCATCAAGAACCACTTCCCCGTCGCCCGCATAAAGCGCATCATGCAGGCCGACGACGATGTCGGCAAGGTCGCCCAGGTCACGCCCGTTGTTGTTTGTACGTACTGCCCGCGCGGCGCTTTCTCCACCATGGCTGACTCTCCACAGCGAAAGCGCTCGAGCTCTTCATGATCTCCCTCGTCACCAAAGCCGCCGCCGAAGCCAAAGCGCGCAACTCCAAGCGCGTCGGCTCCATCCACCTCAAGCAAGCCATCACCAAGACCGACCGCTTCGACTTCCTCAACGAGATCGTGTCCAAGGTCGCCGACGCGCCCGAGAAGAGTGAGGGCGACA